ATGAGACAAAGTATATGTGAACTGCTGTATGGAAAGTGAATTTGCTCTGTAAATCTTCACCCAAATCACAATAAAAAATTTAAAAAAAAAAAAAAGAAGATGGAAGGAATACAGAGTCACTGTATAAAAAAGAATTGGTCAATGTTCAACTATTTCAAGAGGTAGTATATGATCGAGAACCTATGGTATTGAAGGAAGAAGTCCAAGCTGCACTAAAGGAATTGGCAAAAAACGAAGGCTCCAGGAATTGATGGAATACCCATTAGGATGTTTCAACAAACAGATGCAGTACTGGAGGTGCTTATTCATTTATGCTAAGAAATTTGGAAGACAGCTACCTGGCCAACTGACTGGAAGAGATCCATGTTTGTGCCAATTCCCAAGAAAGGTGATCCAACAGAATGTGAAAATTATCGAACAATATTATTAATATCACATGCAAGTAAAATTTTGCTGAAGATAATTCAAAAATGCTTTCAGAAATTTAAGCTGGATTCACAAGAGGACATGGAATGAGGGATATCATTGCTGATGTCAGATGGATCTTGGAAGATCAAGGAAGATTGAAGAAGAGTTGATGCCTTTGAATTGTGGTATTGGAGGAGAATACTGAAGCTACCATGTACTTCCCAGAAGAACAAACAAATCTGTCCTGGAAGAAGTGCAGCCAGAATGCTCCTTAGAAGCGAGAATGGCCAGACTTTGTCTCATGTCCTTTGGCCATGTTGTCAGAAGGGACCATTCCCTGGAGAAGGATATGATGATTGATAAAGTACAGGGTCAGTGAAAAAAGGGGAAGATCCTCAAGAACATGGATTGGCACAGTAGCTGCAACGATGGGCTTGAGTATAGCATGGATTGTGAGGATGGTTGCAGAGTAGTAAATTAATTAGTATGGCTTTTCTACCCATAAGTCATTGTCAACTCAGTGGTGGAATGACCAACTGAGGAGCTCCTGATTGTAAATGTTGTCCACCTGAGTTATTTCTGTTGGGCGTGGCACAATGCAATGTTATGGGAGGTTCTCTCTCAAGTGCTTAGAGTTCTGATGCTATGATTGGCTAGTTTG